AGCCCCCCCACCGCTCCCTTTTGTTCCTGCGTGCCGCCGGCGCTTGGATCCCCGCCCGGGGAGAAGCCGCTCGGTACTTCCCGGGCTCCGTCTGTGCCTGCACACCCGCCTGAAGGGCATCCTCCTCCGGTAGTGTCCGTCTGTCAGCCGCCGGGAAAGGGATTTTCCCCTTCTCGCAACTGCTCCCCGTTGCTTGTCGGTCTTCAGTGCCGGCTCTGCACTTAACTGGACTTAGCGTGTGTTAATTCCTTCACAATGTATGCGAGTGTCCCTGCGCCCTGGAGAAGGATTTCCTTATTGACTTGCCGACTGTGATGCGGCCAGGTATTATTTACATCGTGATAAATATGCCTGTGTCAATCTGCTCGCACGGTTACAGTGCGGCTGCTCCTAGAGCCCAGTTTGCCGAAACTTTAATTGCAGCAGGCGATGTTGTACCGTGAGTCCATCTCGGTCAGGGCGGAGCGGTGCTCGGTGGGATAGCGGCCTCGCCGAGGCAATCGCGTGTCACTCGGGGACAGATCCTGCTGTTTCATGGGATGAATCGGAAACAAAAATCAGAAACAATGAAAATGAGTTTGTGTGTGTTTTTTAAAACAATCTGACCTGGTAACGTCTGCTAAGGGCACAGTAAATCGGGCAGCAACCCCCCAGTTTTGTCTGGCACAGCCCATGAATCAGCCGGTAAACAGCATAAACTGTGATCACTTTGCAGCCGAAAATCTAAGGCCTCGCAGCCCTGGCTGCCGGAGCGTTACGTGTCATTAAAGTAGCTCTCTTGGAGGAGAGGGACTGTCCCAGGAGCTACAAAATCTATAAACACTTTTCTGATTGGTTTAAAAATTTAGACACAGGAAGCGGATGGTATCTAATAACAGACAAGTGGAGACACTGTTGTCATGGAAACTGAGAAGACTCCCCCCCACCCCCATGTATTTAAAAAAAAAAAAAAAAATAGGCAGAAGAAAAAAGTCTGCATATCATCAGAAATGCCTGCAGACCGCCTTGGCTGCTGTTGCCTTTCCCACAGCATCTGTTGAAACCTGAGAACATGCCTGTCAAATCAAGGTCATTTTACAATAAAACCCTGCACCGCCGCCTCCTTCTCTCCTGCCTGGACGTTGTCCCGCACTTTCCATCCAAGGAGGAGTTGAGGAGATGCAGCCACCTGCCCCGTGCCCACTGGTGTCCTGCCCCAGCCTGGCCTGCTGCTGGGGAACTTGAGAAAAGGCTCAAAGAAGAGGGATCCTGGGGCTTAAAAGGCAAAAGTAACAAGGGATGACTTTTTTAAAATTTAATGGTCAGGCCATGTTTCTTTCCGTGGGCATCTATGGACCTGGGAAATAGAGCTGGGATTGATCTCCCTCTGTTCCTTTGTATTATGAAGTTATATTAAAATGTAATGATTTGGACTTTCATATTAAGGCTG